AACAATTAATTTAGAGTGGGAAAGATTGAACCGAGGAAGAGGCTATAGATTTAAAAAAAATAAAAAATAAAAAGTGCTATGATTTGATATGTGCAAATATTAGTGCTATTTTGGCCATTTACAAATTTTCTTAATCATCCTTAGAACATGTCTAATTTGTCTCGTTTCCCCTTGAGCAGGCCAGAGCTGATGACGAGAGATGGACCAATTATTTAGGGTGTCCTGTGCATGCGCTCTACTCGAAATAGTTGCAGGGTATAGGGAAAAGTTCGACTCAACTTAACGCAAGGGCTCATTGTAGATTAGATGAAATTCTGCCTAAGTAAATTTGATCGGACCTTAGAGCCTTTACTGGACTGCTAAATTTTTGTTCCCTTTGAGGGGTATATATGAGTAATTCTATATGGGCTTTAGATTGTTGCAAGCTCATGTTGTGTGGATTCATAGCAAAAGTAGGAACAAGATGTTAGAATTTTTCTATTGCACAATCACTGTTCAGATTTCAATCTCGAATTTAGGGTGTGTCATGAAATATATGTCACTCTAATTCAACGTTTCAAAGTTTTGTAACGATTATTAATGAGTGGATTGATAATGCAAATAAGAGTTAGACCGTGAAAAAAAAAAAAAAGAGTGCGTTTAAGGATATTAGAATTTAAGGATTAATGTTGGATACTGGAACGGTTATTCCAGAGAAGCATACACCCAGAATTTGAATTATCAAATTAAGTCAGCAAGAAGTTTAAGCATTAGCAAAAATTAACTACTTAATTGATAACAAGCAAGTGGGTACCGCAATACATAATATTGACCTCAAAGTAGCAATAAAGCATTGTACACGTGTTGAGACTTTTAAAGACCAATTACTCTTATAAATTATTAAAAAAGTTTAATCTTTTTATACAGTGACGTTCAAATCTAATCGAAATACCTTGGTCAATTGAATAAATCTTCTGTCCTACGTCGAATAATTTGCACACTTAGCACGTGTGAAATTGCTTGATCATGAGATGAAAGTAAGGGTACAAAGTTGAAAATATTTTTGTAACAAATAGAATTCAAACTAACTTATAATTATATAATTAAATTAGACATTTGCACTCCAGAAAATTGTCAATGTACTGTGGACAAGATTTTGTTGGCAAATTTAATCCAAGTTATGCATGTATATATAAAGTAACATCTCCATGCCTTGCATTATTTTTG